GTGGGGGGGTGGGCGAAGGGAGAAAATGAAAAAGGAAAGTGAAAAACGGATTTCATCTGTTTTCAGAAAAATTGAGTTTTTGGAAAAAATCCAAAAACGTTTTTATTTTTGGTTTTGGTACGGATTCTTCCCAAACACATTTTCATTTCCCGTTTTCATTTTTTCTTCTCGAGAAACGTGGAAAACGAAAATGAAAATGGAAACAAACGGGTCCTAAAAGTGGGCACTGGGCAGGAACACGAGAATACAATGGAGAAATTAGGTTGTAACATTTTTATTAAATTCAGAACATGGTTTTTAAAGAACAAAAATTTAGTGGAGTAATAAAGAGGACTTTTTTTAGTAATCTGTAAAAATAGACTATCGGTAGTCCCTTATTTTTCAACCTAATAATCTGTAAAAATAAATTATCGGTAGTCATTTATTTTTCAGCCGTTAGATTAATCTATCTATTTTACATATGTTTTCCATTTAATGTGATTTTGATCAAATTCAATAGTTAAAAATTAAGGTTTCGTTCATTTCACCGATTCGAGTTTTTAGTTTTAGGTTTCTACAGTAAAAAATCCTTAGAAAATGTCACATCTAACTTTTCTGCTACAGTGAAAAGTTCTTAAAAAATGTCACATTTCAACTCGAATCTACAAAATGAACGAGGCCTGAGACTACCAATTAAACAAACTACCCTAAAAACTCTAAAAAAAAAGTTTAAAAACCTAGACCGGCAAATACCCATTAAGATACACAAATACGCAAAAAGACGTCAATTTTGGTGAGTACTCATGCTCTGTGTTTTTTCTTGTTCTTGTCGTTTCATATATACATATACATATAAATAATTTTGTTATTTTGTTATTTCAGATAGTATGTCGTTTAAATTCTTCTTCTCGTCGCGTTTCTAAATCCTTGTCCTTATAAATTTTGATGTAGTTTTTGTCGTAGTATTATTATTGTAGTTATTGGACTTCTATGTCGTTTTTCAGGTTCTTGGCATTCTCTTTTCTTTTGCGCCATCTCCCTTTTTTTGTCGTTTTTATATTTTGCGTCATTTGAGGTGTTTTATTTATTTATTTTTTTTTCTGCACCTCCAAGTTTTTTTTTTTTTTTTTTTTTTTTTTTTTTTTTTTTTTTTTTCGTAAATTATGGAGGGGAAAAAAGAATTTAATTATTTTTCTGTTGTAATTATTAAGATTCGAAACCTGTAAAGTAAACTTGTAGTTTTGTAAAATTTTTAAAGATGACTATTATAATGAATGAATAGATAAATATGTCAATACATGTAATTAAATGTCAAAAATTAGCATCT